AAAGGCTGGCAGCTGCTGGGCTGAGACCCTCACAGAGGGGACCCACTCCCTGATCCCAAGTCAGAGCCTGCCCTGCCCTATCCCAAACCCAGGTCCCAGAAACCAGCAGGGTACCCAGGCAGTGCCCGCTCTGTAGGAGACAGCCTGGCGCCGTGCGGAGCCCAGGGCTGTGCACTCCTGGCACCCGTCCCCCAGGGGGCGCTCTCTGCCCTCTGACGATGCCAGCCGCGCGTCAAGGTCCCAGGAACACCTATTCCCTCTTTGAGGCTCAGAGAGGTTAAGGGACTGGCCCAAAGTCACACAGCAAGCGAGTGGCAGGTACGGGAACGCGAACCGGGTCAACTGTGCACTTTCTGCTCTTCTGCTCAGCTTTGGAAACTCGCAGTTTATTCCTCCTATAATTTAATAATATATATTAAATTAGTGGGCCCGCACCTGGAGCGCCCGGGAGTCCCCTGAGCCGCCTCCACGCCCCCTGCCTTTCCCGCCAGGGGCGCCACTGCCCTGCCCGCCCAGCTGGGACCTGCCCCCCTGGGCCCGAGTGCCGCCTTCCCCGCCGGGATCTGCGGGGCTCTCCCCACCCGCCTCCCCAGCCAGCGACTGCTCCCCTGCTCCCCACCCGCCCCGCTTCCTGGGCTCAGCCCGCCCTCTCCCCTCGCTGCCAGTCACCCCGAAGCCTGCCCCTCCCTCTGGGCCTGGCCAATGTCAGCGACTGCGTTGGCCACCCCCCGCCCCCACAGCGGCGGGCGCAGCCTCTGGGCTCCGCTGCCGAGCGCAGGCCGCCGGCGAGGCCACCATGAGCTGCCTGGGGTGAGTTAGGGGCCCGCCGCTCGCAGGGGAAGCCGGAGAGGAAAGAAAAAGTTCTTTCTGGAGCCGAATTTGCAGGGGAGACGCTGTGCGGGCGCTGAGGGCGCCCGGGGCGGAGGTGGATGGGCAGCCCCCCGCCCCTCCCCGCCCCTCCCCACGGGGCTGCGCCCAGGGCGAGGGCGCTCGGGCTGTCCCCGGGGGAGCTGGCGCGCGTCCCCAGCCTGCGAGCAGCCAGACTCCCCGGAGGCCCCTCGTCTCCCTGCGCTGCTGCCCTGGCGTCTGTCCCCGCCGCCTCTGCCGGGCCAGCCTGTGTGCCTCCGGGGAGTCCCCGCGCCTTTCCCTCCGCAGCCGCCCCCGAGCGACCGGCGCGGGCCAGGAAAAGCCAATGGGGGGCGCCCCCGGCAGAGCGTGCAGCCGAGAGCCTGGGCAGCGGGAGCGGGACCTGGGGAAGCCTGTCCCGCAGCCTCCCCGGGGCGCTGCTGGGGAGGATGAAACAGCAGCCTCTGTTGTCAGCGCGAGTGAAGTGAGACAGGAAAATTGGGGAGGCGGTGGAGGAGGGGGCGGGGCCCAGCTGGGCTACCCTGACAGTGTGGCTTCAGCCATCCCCACCCCCACCTCCCTATCCCACCCCACCGGTGGCCTGGGCTGCAGTGATCCGTGCGGCGCGTTCCCAAGGGAGCAGGACGGGGTGAAGGAGTCTCAGACACAGTTATCTGTGATTCCGAGGGCTGAGAGCCAGCGGAGACAGCCCGGGGCTGAATCCTCATGGGGCAATCGAGGTGGGCTCCCAGGAGGAGGCAGCAGGTGCTGGTCTGCGGCTCAGACAGTGACCGGTGGTGTCTGGCTGTGTGTCCTGTGGAGGTGGGAAGACGGTCCCTAAGGGGTGTTCATCAGGGCCAGGCATCTAGCCACAGGGGTGGACTCCTGAGCACCAAAGGGAAGGGCAGTGTTCCCCAGGCCTACGGGTACCAACATTGGGTACCCAACAGTGCCCGGCTGTGAACCATCCTACATGGGGTAAAAGGCCACTCTGAGCTACAGTGTGGCCCTGGGGACCTCCCCTCCCCCATCAGTGAGAGACCAGGTTTAAATGAGAGGTTGGGCAGCAAAGGGTAGCGGTGAGGGTGTGTGTGTGTGTGTGAGTGCGTGTGTGTGTGTGTGTGTGTGTGTGTGTGAGTGCGTGCGTGCGTGTGTGTGTGTGAGTGCGTGTGTGTGTGTGTGTGTGTGTGTGAGTGCGTGTGTGTGTGTGTGTATGTGTGTGACAGGTCAGAGCTCAACAGAGGCTGGAACCCATCAGACCAAGCGGTGGCCCCAGTGGCTGCAGCAGAGACGTGGGGAGAAAGGAGAAGGCGCAGGGAGACCAGGAGGCTGGGCCGTGTGGTTCAGCAGCCACTGGTCATGTGTCGCTATTTAAAAAATGAAATTTCATGAGTCTAGATAGATAAAGGTTTAAATCCAGCTCCCCGGTCTCCCTAGGGAGCTGCTAGCCACAGTTCAAGTGCTCGATAGCCACACGTGGCTGGTGGCGACCTCATAGATGTTGCACCCACGCACCATTTCAGGGAGTCCTCGGGCCTGCACGGCCTCGGGGATTCAGGTCAGTGGCAGCCACGCCAGCGAAGGGGCTCATCTTCCTTTAGCGCAGCAGCTAATTCAGTGGCTGAGGCCTAATTTGGGTCTGTCCCCAAAGGGATCCCAGCTTGATGAAGTAATGAAATGGCTTTCTAATTAGGACAGGCCAGGCCGTTTGGAAAGTGTGACGTGGTTAGGAGGGAACAGGAAAGCTAAGTCCTGGGAGGGGGGCGGTCTGCTAGTGTTTCAGGAAATATGGGAGGGGAGGGGCAGGCATGGGAGGTGGGGGCAGGGGAGCAACGGAGGTGGTGGAGGGAGCTGGAATTTGGAATCTCAACAGACCTAGCTCAAACCCAAACCCACTGGCTGGCTGCTCGACCTTGAGCAGGTTCATTGACCTCTGCGGTTACCTGTGAAAGGCGGTTGGTGATATCTACGCGGGTCCCCCAGCAGGGGTTCTTGGTAGGAAATAGCATAAATCAACGGTTCTCAACCTGTGGGTCGCGACCCCTTTGGCTGTCGAACAACCCTTTCACAGGGGTCGCCTAAGACCATCCTGCATGTCAGATATTTACATGACGATTCATAACAGTAGCAACATTACAGTTATGAAGTAGCAACGAAAATAATTTTATGGTTGGCTCACAACATGAGGAACTGTATTTAAAGGGCCAGAAGGTTGAGAACCCACTGGCATAAATGAACTCTGCCATCTACAAGCAGAAAGGAGGTTATTTAGGTTCTTGGGGTGATATTGGTTAATAACATTATATAGGTTTCAGGCGTACCATTATATGATGCATCGTCTGTATATGGCAGCGATTTTCAATCCGTGTGCCACAAGAATTTTTAAAACATGCAACACCTGACTGTCTAGTCAGGGGCACTGACCTCTTTTCCCTTCAATTATTAAATTATAAAAACAACAGCAGCCAACACAGTGGCCATCTGGTGTGAATGAATCAAAATTATACCTCGTTTTCTGTCAGATGGCAGATTGGTCATGAGTTTGTGTGCCATGAGATGAAAAAGGTTGACAGTCGCTGGTACATTGCCTTGCGTGTCTACCACCCAAACAGAAAGAGGTTAGTTGAGAACCTGGGGGCGGGGATCTCACTTTTCCACCCTCTGCTGCTGACAAGGCTCAGGGGCCCCCCTTGCAGTTACTGGGAGATTTCTGACGCTGTGTGGCTGGCAGTGCCGGGCATTCATTCGTGTCAGTTCCTGTGGTTTCCCCTGGGGACCATCTCTTTCTCCCCAAGGTGGTTTCTCAGCCGTGGCAGTACCGACCTCTGGGGCCCAATAATTGTCCGTTGTCCTGTATGTTGTAGGATGTTTAGCGGCATCCCTGGCCCCACCCACAAATGCCAGTAGCATAGTCCCCTCCTAGTTGTCATTTGGTGGCAACCAAAACTGTCCCCAGACAGTACCAAATGCTCCCCCCCCCCCTCCCGTGAGAATGGCTGTCCTAGAGTGATCGTCTCTGGGGGCACACTCCCCCAGGGTAGGCACTCAGAGAGGCCAGCTGTGGCCTGACGCCTGGCCACCCCCTGCTGCTCAGAGTCACCTGACCAGATGTGCCAGCTGCTGGCTCCTTCGCTGGCCCCGGGTGGTGCACGGCAGGCTGTGTGTGGATCTGAGCAGGAGCACTTACTTTGTGCGGGCATCTCCTCCGCCCACAGCAAGGCAGACAGCGCCCTGGCCTCCGGGCGGGCCTAGTTCGGGATCAGCCAGAACTGGCTCCATCTTGATGGGCAACTGTGGCCCTGGGGCGCCAGGGAGCTGGGAGGGTTCTCAGACATTTCTCTCTGGGAGGGTGGGGGACAAGGCTTGGGAGGACACAGCTCTGGCTCCTGAGAAATGCTGCCCTGAGAGGTCCCGCAGGGGGCAGCCTGGCTGGGGTCAGGAATGGGAATGGGGGGCTGAGGTGGGCTGGGCAGACCCCGTTTCCTGTCCTCTCTCCCCTCGGCTCTCCTCCAGTGAGAAGCACTCATCGCGGTGAGGCCCAGCCTGGCAGCCCCTCCTCCCTTCCATTCACTCCCAGACCCAGCACCCCTCCTGCCTCTGTTTTCAGAATCTAGACACTTGTTCCATCCCTCCCTTCTCCCCTCCCAGCACCCCTTCCCCGAGTGCCCAAACTTCTGATCCCTCCACCTCCCCTTAAATCCCTGGACCCTCCCATGGCTCCCTGTCTCAGAGTGCAGTCTCAGCCGCGGCCAGTGGCGTCCAAGGCTCCCTCTCCGGCCCCTGCCGATGAGCTTGCCCCTGGGTAGGTAGTGAGGGCTTCCTCTTTGTGTCTCAACTCCTGCTGAGCCCTGGAGGCTCAGCGCAGCGGCCACCCTCTCCGGGAAGCCTTCCGGGCTCTTCAGGAGACAGTCGGGACTTCCTGGGACGGTGGGGTTCATTCTCACTGCAGCGGGTGTTGGGGACTCGCCACTGTGCGGGGCAGCCGGGCGCTCGGGAGAGACTGACGGAGGAAGCCTGGAGGAGACAGCGGGACAGCCTCCAGCCGCCCCAGATCCCGGGGAGCTAGCGGAAGGTCCCCCCAGGGGCGGGGCGGGGAGGGGCGGGGCTACCTGGGAGGGGCGGGCGCCAGGCCAAGGGCCGCGTGCGCTGGGCTCTGTGCGCGGGGCCGGCAGAGGAGCGCGGAGTCGCGGCGCCCTCGCTCTGCTTGCGGCTCGGCTACCCACTGCGTCCGCTCCTGCGGTGCCGCCGTCGCCAGCTCCAGATGGGGAAGGACCAGGGCTTCTCCCGGCACTTTCGGTAGTTTCCCCGCCGCGCCCCCGCTCCCGGGAACCGTGCGCCCCTGGAGCCGTGCGCCCCTGGAGCCGTGCGCCCAGGGCGCCGCGGACCCGGCTCGGGCCAGCCTGGGAGGGGGTGGAGTGGGCACCGAAGGGTTACCTGCCCTTGCGGGCGCCCGCGGTGCCTGTCTGGGGCGCGGGGCTGGGGGGGGTGGACTTAAACAGGAGGGGTACAAGGGGGCGAGTTCCGGTGGGCGCCCGGGACCCGCCCTAGGCCCTAGGGGTCGGGAGCTGAGGGCTGGGGTTGAAAAGCCCTCTTTCTTTCCTCGCCGGGTCGGGAAATGTAGGGAGAGAGGACGCTGGGGGGCGGGGGCTGGGAGGAACCTGGAAGTGGGTTTAGACCTAACTCCCCGCGGAGCGGACACACTGACCCTGAGAGCAGCTCCTCATGTGGCCCCGGGAGAGCCCTGCAGCCTCCGAGAAGCCTCTGGCATGGCAGAGTCCTGGGCAGCCAGGGCTGGGCTGTCAAGGTCAGGGGCACAGTGAGGGGCCACAATGGCCCAGGAGACCCCACTGCGCATGGCTCTTCTGGGAGAGTTGGTTTAAAGCAGACCCAGGGCTGGGGTGCCCAGGCCACCCTGAGCCGCATGGGGGGCCCACTCAGCCAGGAAGGGCATCTGCCTCACCAGGCTCAGCCCCAAGGACACCCAGCCTCCCCCACCTGTGCCCTGGTGATTCCCCCTGGTGCCCACCTGGGGGGCAGGCGGGGTCCTCTCTAGTTGCTGCTGGAGGTAGAGCTGGGATGGTCGTCTGGCCTCTGCCCAGGTGGGACCCAAGGCAGATGCCTTCTGGAGCCTGGGACTGGAGCCCAAAGTCATCTCTCCTTTATCTGAGCAGGAGGCCTGTGGTGGGTGCAGGACCGGGTGGGGAATTCGCAGGCCAGGCAGATGGGGGTGTCGGGCTCCAGAGACCTTGAGTGGCCATCTGGGGAATGAGGCCGAGGCTCTGGATGGGGGATTGCTGTGGTTGGCGAGGCTGAGCAGATCAGGCAGGGTTGCTCCTGGCAGAGTGGAGTATGTCGTTCATGCTGGCCTCCTGATCTCCTGGGGCATCCAGGAGCAGAGCTCACGGTGAGGGGGGTGGGGGAGTCGGTGAGGGGGGTGGGGGAGTCGAGTCCCGATGAACCTCCTCCCTAAGGGCTCACACCCCTTCCCTCCCAGCAGGCAGCTACTCTGCCCGCCTGGCCTGGTTAATCCTACCCACAGCGGTTTAGGGAACTGGGTGGGGGCCACTGGGTGACCCCAGACGGGTTGTATTCCAGCTGCCTGCAAGGCCACCGACCCCCTTTCCTTCCTCCCCCCGCCATGCCCTGGTACTGGCCCCTGGTGCAAAGAACAGGGGAGGGAACTGTGAGAGGCGGCCACGGAGGCCTGATAAACAGAACTTCAGGGCCCGCCCTCAGTGCTGAGGCCCGGAGGCTGGGCGCGTCCCAGCTGTGTTAACCCGGAGAGGTCCGGACCCTCAGCACCCCTGCTGTGGGCCCAGGAGTCCCCGATGGCAACTGCCGCCATCACTCAGGGGTTTGGTTGGACCACCCGTGGCGCTGGCGCCCTGTTTACTGAGTCACTGAGCCCCTCCCATGTGCCTTGGGGGCTGGTCACCCCTGCTCAAAGCTGCGCTATGGACCCAGCCCTCAGAGAGCGTCCAGGTCACAGAGAGACCCATGGTACAAGGAACCATGCGGGGTGTGGGCCCCCCACAAGGGACCCTGAGAGCCTCCCCCTGCTTCTCAGCACGTCCCGATAGTGGCCAGACAGAGGGACTTGCTCCAGCAGGGAGGCTAGAGGAAGCCAGTGTTGGTGTGGAAGGGCGAGCTGGCTTCGCTAAGGGAACTGAGGGCAGGGGGAGGGGGGAGGGGAGGAGGGGAGGGGGAAAGTGAGAGGAGGCCTGGAGGCGGTGGTCCCGCACATCGAGGGGGCAGCGCAGAGCCATGGGGCCGCTGGCCAGAGGAGCGGGCTGGGGGCTGGAGGCTGGGGGCTGGGGGTGCGGTGGTGGTGAGGGGGATGGGGCGGGGGGTCTGACCAGGCCGGGTTGCATCTTCCGTTTTCTCCAGCGGAGGTGCCTGGAGTCAGGCTGGGGGAAGAGTTTGGGGATCCCTGGCTGGGCCGGCCCGGCAGGTGCAAGGGCACGATTGAGGGAGTAGGGAGAGGCCGGAGCGGAGAAAGTGGAGGCAGGAAGAGGAGGGGACCAGGCTTTGGGGAGCTGAGGTCCTCGGAGGCCAGAGTAATAACGGGGCGGTCCCAGCCGGAGCGTGTGGTCGGGAGCGCCAGCTCGGACTCAAGGGGGTGCCGGCGGCTGAGCGCTCCGCCACCCGGGGGGCGCCTGTGGGCCGGGGTTGGAAGCGATCGGGGCGCAGTCTGGGGCGCGCCCCGACCCGGCTGGCTTCCCGGCAGGATCTTCATCCCCAAGAAGCACCGGGCGCGCTTCGACGAGGTGGTGTCGCAGGGTCTGCTGGGCAAGCTGTGCCGCGCGCGGCGGGCGCAGAGCGCGCAGAGGCTGCGCCGGAGCCGCAGCGAGGAGCGGCCCGAGCGCCTCCTGGTGTCCACGCGCGCCAGCGCCGCCCCGCGCCGCCCCGACGAGCCGCCCCCGCTCAAGGCCGCCTCGCTGCTGGCCGGCCGCGCCTGCTCGGGGCGCGCGCGCAGGTACCCGGGCCGGGGCGCGGGAGGCGGACTCCTCCTGGGGGGTGGGCCGGCTCAGGATGGAGACCTGGGCGGAGGGGGAGGGGGAGGCGTGGCGGGGGCGGGGGACCGTGTAGGGGAGGTTAGGGTGAACCGACGTCGTCGGCATCCCAGGGCAGGGCCCGCTGCCCACCCCCACCCCCGCCTCTTTCTCCCCAGGACCGTCCGCGTCTACAAGGGCAACAAGAGCTTCGGCTTCACGCTGCGCGGCCACGGGCCCGTCTGGATCGAGTCCGTCCTGCCTGGTGAGGGGTGGGCGGGTTGTCCAGAATGGGGCAAAGGGCCCCATTGGGCCGCCGCTCAGCACCCCCGACTCCCGCCCGCCCTGTACCCACCTCATGTAGCCTGTGTCCTCCAAGCGAGCGTCCCAGGGCAGCAGCCAAATCATCCATCTTGGGGCTGGGCAACGCTGTCCAAGTTCAGGGTCACCCCTGAGCCGAGTGAAACTAGCTCTCCGCCCAGACCATCCCATGCCCACCTGGAGAGCGGGGCACCGGGTCCAGGCAGCCAGAACGGAGCAGATGTCTGCCCAGGCTGGGCCCAAACCACACTCCCTGTGCAGGGGCCACCTTCACTGTGGAAGGGCATTGCCAGGCAGCCAGACCCACACCCTGCCGGTCCCCCCTCCTCCTCCCGCCCGCCTGCCTTCTTGCTCCCGGAATGGCGGCATCTTGCAGAAGGCGGAGCAGGAATTCCCCCTTCTCACCTTCCAGTGGAAGGGGTGGGGGGTGAGGGTGGGGGGGAAGCGACCCATGTCTTGCTGAGGCAGCCCATCCAGTGTGGGTTTGAACTCTCCCGCCCTGTACCCACCCTCAGGGCTGGGCCACCTGCTCTGCCTGGCACCCATCCCCTCCCAGCACGTGAGTGTGGTGCTCTGGGGGCTCCGTCCCCATGGGTGCCCGGCTGAGGCTGAGTCCTTCCACCCTCCTGCCTCTCACGTCTGGGGCGCACTGATCTGGACGATGGGCGTCTTCTGCCTCCTGGGAAAGCGTCAGGGCCTTTGCCCCACCGTGCCAGCCACTGGATACTCAGGTCTGACCCTGGTGGCTGACGCGCCCAGGTCCCCTCGGATTTGGGTACCACTGTGGTTGACATGCTGTTGTTGCGACAAGGTCCGAAGCTGCTCTCTGGGGAGCGTCCTCTGGAAACGAGTCATCTTTCCTGTTTGGATGTGTCTCTTCCAACTCTGCCGCCCCCACCCCACGAGTGGGCAGAGCCGCCTGGCCTGGGCCAGTTACAATCCAGGTGTGCTGCTCTGCCCAGCCCTGCCGCCAGGGGGCACTTCCTCCGGTGACAACGGCAGGGAGGAACCTGGTGTGGGCCTTCGGAGGACAGACAACTGTGTGGAGTGGCGTCCTTTGGGGGCGCAGACGCTGCAGAGTTGCTGCTCGCAGATCTTTGCTTCAGCTCATCTCCAACCGCTCAGGGCTGACCGGCCGCCCCAGCGCCCCCGCCTGCCTGGAATCACTCCGGGCTAGAGCAGCCAGCGAGGCGCAGGGCCTGAGCTGGTCTAATGTGGCCCCCCCCCCCCCCCCCCCCCCCCCCCCCCCCCCCGCCCGCCCCCCCCCCCGCCCCCGCTGACCAGCGGCCTCTCTTCTTGCCTCCAGGGAGCCCGGCTGACAATGCCGCCCTCAGGTCGGGCGACCGGATCCTCTTCCTCAACGGACTGGACATGAGGTCAGAGGCTGCTGGGGACAGCAGAGCTTGGCGGAGAACTGTCCCCTAAAACTGCTGCCTCTCGGGACCCCCAGCCCTGGTCCTGATCTCCTCTGCCCAGTGGGTCCCCAGGGTCTGCCCCTCATCCTAGGGCAGTGATGGCAAACCTATGACACGCGTGTCCGAGGTGACACGTGAACTCATTTTTTTGGTTGATTATTCTTTGTTAAATGGCTTTTAAATATATAAAATAAATATCAAAAATATAAATCTTTGTTTTACTATGGTTGCAAATATCAAAAAAGTTCTATACGTGACAGGGCACCAGAGTTAAGTTAGGGTTTTTCAAAATGCTGACACGCCGAGCTCAAAAGGTTCGCCATTACTGTCCTAGGGGAACTCCTGAATCTATTCTCCCACCCTCGCCAGGACATCAGTTCATCCTTCCAACCTGAAAACACCCCAGCCCCACGCAGGGCACAGAGCTGAAAGTCTTGCCCTGTAGGGGGAGTCCTGCCCGGGGGTGGGGGGATGGGTGCCAGCCCTTCTGTGCCCTGGAGCTGCTCCTGCAGAGAGGACCTGGCAGGAGAGGCCCTGTCTGGCTCTGGCTGTGGCCCTGCTGGGGACTTGCTGTGTGGGCTCTGCAGGCAGGAGGGGGGGGGGCGGGGGGGGCGGGGGGGGGAGGGTGTCCGGTGGGCGGCCGTGGACGGGGCTCACCTGGCCAGGCCCTCCCGGGCCATCTCTGCTTGGCAGGAACTGCTCCCATGACAAGGTGGTGTCCATGCTGCAGGGCAGTGGCGCAATGCCCACCCTGGTGGTAGAGGAGGGACTCGTCCCGTTCCCCAGCGGTGAGACCCCCACTCCACAGAGACCCTGAGGGGCCCCCTCTGCTTACCCCCCAAACCCACAGCATCCCCCGCTTGGTGCTGTGGACCCCAGTGGGACCGTCTTAGGCACCTGCCTGGCTCTCCCTCCACCCCCAGCTGCAGCCGCAGATGTGCCTCCCAATGCAGGGTGCCCACAGCCACACCCAGTCAGGAGGGCCCCGGGCCTGGGGACGCCGGGTCACCCGGGCCTCTCCTGCCTGTGACCCTGCAGACTCCGATTCTTTGGATTCCTCCAGCCCGTCGGCGGCGCTCACCTCCCTGCAGTGGGTGGCGGACATCCTGCCGGCCAGCATCCGCGTGCAGGGGAGGACCTTCAGCCAGCAGCTGGAGCGCCTGCTCACGCCTCCCGAGCGCTACGGGGTCTGCCGGGCCCTCGAGAGCTTCTTCCAACACAGGTGGCCAGGCCGGAGCAGGGGCGGGGACCTGCCCTGGGTGGGCCCCAAATCCTGCCCCGACTCACTGTCGGGGTCCACCTGCTCAGCCTCCTCGCCCCCTTCTCCTGGGGAGGCTCAAAGAAAGCAGCAGCTGGAACCAGGGGTCCCCAGGTGGGGACAGTTGAGCTGCCCCAGAGCAAACTCTGCCTCTGGAACCTCCTAGCCCCTGAGCTGGGCAGGTGACAGCCTGGTCTGCAACGTGAAGGAGACTGGTCACCTGCAGCGTTGATGGTGGGACCCTCACAGGGATGGTGCCTCCAGGATCAGCAAGGCCCCAAGATGCCCAGCGCCCGGGGCCCGCGTTGGGGGTGGTTGGGTATCCTTCTTTCTCTTTTTGCACCTTCAGGGGCAGCAGGCTGCGTCATCACCCTCCTCAGCCGCGGCCTGTGCAAAGCTCCTCCCTTGTTCATCCTTTTCCTCTTTTTGTTTGAAGAGTTGTGTTAAGACATATTTCACGGGCCGTGCAATTCCTCCAGCTGAGTGTGACTTCAGTGTGCTGGTTTTTAGTATGTTCACACTAAACACACTCAATTTTAGAGCATGTTCATCACCTCGAAAAGAACCCTGCACGCTTTCACCGTCGCCTGCCTTCTCTGCTCCTGCTCACCGGGCACAACCATTAACCCGCTTTCTGTCTCTATAATTTCTTCTTTTAAAATGTATTTTTATTGATTTCAGAAAGGAAGGGAGAGGGGGAGAGAGATAGAAGCATCAATGATGAGAGAAAACCATTGATCGGCTGCCTCTTGCACACCCTACACTGGGGATCAAGCCGGCAACCCGGGCATGTGCCCTAACCCGGAATCAAACTGTGACCCGGTTCATAGATCGACACTCAACCACTGAGCCACACCAGCTGGGCTGTCTCTATAATTTCTTTTTTTTAAAATATATTTTATAGATTTTTTACAGAGAGAAAGGGAGAGGGATGGAGAGTTAGAAACATCAAGAGAGAGAAACACCGATCAGCTGCCTCCTCCACACCCCCTACTGGGGATGTGCCCGCAACCAAGGTACATGCCCTTGACCGGAATCGAACCTGGGACCCTTCAGTCCACAGGCCGACGCTCTATCCATTGAGCCAAACGGGTTAGGGCTGTCTCTATCATTTCCCTGTTCATTTTACATGAACAGAATGGTACAATATGTGGATTTTTGTGTCTACTTCTTTCCCTTAGAGCAGTGGTTCTCAACCTTCCTAATGCTGCGACCCTTTAATGCAGCTCCTCATGTTGTGGTGACCCCCAACCATAAAATTATTTCCGTTGCTGCTTCATAACTGTAATTTTGCTACTGTTATGAATCGTCATGTAAATATCTGATATGCAGGATGTATTTTCATTGTTACAAATTGAACATAATTAAAGCATAGTGATTCATCACAAAAACAACATGTAATTATATATGTGTTTTCCGAAGGTCTTAGGCGACCCCTGTGAAAGGGTCGTTTGACCCCCAAAGGGGTCGCGACCCACAGGTTGAGAACCGCTGCCTTAGAGTGTTGTCAACGTTCATCCAAGTTATAGCATCAAGTAGCATCGTTTCTTTTTTATGGCTGAGAATATTCCATTGCATGGACAGAACACATTATGTTGGTCCCCCCTCAGTTGACGGACGCGTGGTGCTTCCGCCTTTCATTTCCTTTTGGCCCCACCCCCTCTCCCTCGCCCCTCCCGCCGTTTACTGGGCACATTTCCTCTGAAGATGTTCTTGAACAGTGGGCATTGCTGTTCCGCGTGGTGTTTTTATTTCACATCATCATGTGCTCTGTGCTGCATTCTGTGTCTGGCTGTTCTCCCACCAAGTGCCCTGTCTCTGCATCTGTCCACGTGGCTCTGTGGACATTGAACGCACTGTTTGCACTGCAGCCACGTTCCCTGGGCCCGCAGCCGCTGTCTCCTCTCTTTACCTCGCCTGCGGCGGTCACGGGGCTGCCTCTCGCGGCTCCAGCGCAGTAACACTGTGCCGAACGCCTCTGTGCTCATCCCCGGGGAGCTGTGTACCATTCATTGAAATTTATGTCTGAGAGGAAATTGCCAGATGCTAAGGTATTTGCTTACTGAGCTGGACAAGGCTGTGCCGAACTGCTCCCCGGCGCTGGTTTTACCCGCACCAGCAGTGCAGGAGGGCTCCCCCAGCCCCGGGTCCTTGCCGCCATATGGCACTATCCAGCTGTCTATTTTTGCTGGTCTTTTTGGCCATAAAGTCACATCTTATTTGGTTTTTATTTAAAAATATACTTTTATTGATTTTGGAGAGGAAGGGAGAGGAGAGAGAAACATCAATGATGAGAGAGAATCATGGATTGGCTGCCTCCTGCACGCCCCCCACTGGGGATGGAGCCTGAAACCTGGGCATGTGCCCTGCCCAGGAATCAAACTATGACCTCCTGGTTCATAGGTCAACACTTAACCACTGAGCCACGCCAGCCTGGCAAGGGTTTTTAATTACTAATTATTTTAGACATCCTTTAATATCCTCCTTAACTTTTTTCATTTTCTTTTCCATAAGTTACCCATTCAGACCTGTTGTCCATTTTTGTTTTATTGGGCTTTTTGTTCTTGTGGATTTGCAGGAGATCTGTGTATATGTGAGGTACTGGTTCCTTGTTGGTTTTGAATATTGTCACTATCACCTCCCATTTGCCACTTCTGTTAGTATTGACATTTTACGAAGTCCTTCCTTGCCTCTAGTGGTTCTCAACCTTCCTAATGCCGCGACCCTTTAATACAGTTCCTCATGTGGTGACCCCCAACCATAAAATTATTTTCGTTGCTACTTCATAACTGTAATTTTGCTACTGTTATGAATCGTGATGTAAATATCTGATATGCAGGATGTATTTTCAGGGGTCGCGACCCACAGGTTGAGAACCGCTGCAGCTCAAGAGATGGTTTCCTGCTTTCTCTTCTGCTAAGTTTAGAATTGTACCTTCACGCTTCAGTTTTTACCCACCTAGAGTTCATCTTTATGCCAGGTCCTGTGTGAGGACACCGTTTTTTCCACATAATGCAGAGGTCAGCACACTATTTCTGTGAGGGGCTGGAGAGTCAATATTTCAGGCTTTTGGGGCCATACAGTCTGCATTGAAACTATTCAACTCCACTGTTGTAGCTTGCAAACAGCCATAGACAATCTATAAGCAAACAGGCAGGCCTTGTTCCAATCGAACTTGCTTCACAAACACAGATTTGGGCCCACAGGCCGTCATTTGCTGATCCCCGGCACAGTGGCTCGGCTTTCCCAATACACGCCATGCATTCCAACCTTCACAACAGCTCTGGGCAAGAGGTGTCATTTTTATCCCCATTTCACAGATGAGGAAACTGAGGCAGAGCGCTAAGTAACCTGAGAAAGGTCACTTGGCTGGTACGTGGTGGAGGCAGGACTTGAATCTGGGCAGTTGTCCCCAGGGCCTGCCTTCCCACCCAGCTCTCTGTCTTGGCAGTGGGAAGGGGGGCAGGGCAGGAGCCCGAATTCTGTGGCCTGGAAGTGCCCCCCTTATCTGTCCCCACCCCATTCCCTAAGGTGAGGCCCTGAGTAGTGAACCCCTGGCTCCTGCGCCTCCCCCAGGAACATCGACACCCTCATTGTCGACGTCTACCCGGTGCTGGACACGCCCGCCAAGCAGGTGCTCTGGCAGTTCGTCTACCAGCTGCTGACTTACGAGGAGCAGGAGCTCTGCCATGAGAAGATCGCATGTTTCCTGGGCTACACCGCCATGACCGGTGAGCAGCCCTCCCCCCAGCCCGCCCCCTGCCCCATCAGGTGAGCAGCCCTCCCCCCAGCCCGCCCCCTGCCCCATCAGGTGAGCAGCCCTCCCCCCAGCCCACCCCCTGCCCCATCAGGTGAACAGCCCTCCCCCCAGCCCGCCCCCTGCCCCATCAGGTGAACAGCCCTCCCCCAGCCCCGCCCCCTGCTCCACCAGGTGAGCAGCCCCTCCCCCACCCAGGCACCTGTTCTCACCTGCTAGGTACAGTGGGGCCTTGACTTACGAGTGTCCCGACTAATGAGTTTTTCGAGATACGAGCTGTCTCTCGGCCGATTGTTTGCTTTGAGTTGCGAGCTAAAATTCGGGTTACGAGCCAGCTTCAGATACCCCACCGCTAGTTGGCGCAGCGAACGTCACAGTGAACGCCACAACATCAGCCCAGCATCACGTGTC